CCAGTCCCAGTGAATTTTGGTGTTCCTCAAGGTTCTACCTTGGGGCCCATTTTGTTCCTTATTTACGTACGTCCTCTTGGTGACATCATTCAGAAACACGGTATTAAATATCACATTTATGCCGACGATACGCAATTGTACACATCTTTTAGTCCGGAGGCTGCCGCAGAGACAGTTCGCAACTTAGAAGGTTGTATTGATGATGTTCATAGATGGCTGTCTATCAATATGCTTTGCTGCAATACAGACAAGACAGAAGTGCTGTATATAAAGCCTAAACGCCGTCTAAATGTACCCATCATTGAAAACATCCGCGTGGGAGACACCTACATCATTCCATCTTCTGAGGTGCGACATATCAGTGTAACGTTTGACTCCACACTATCCATGATTAGACATATTACAAACACATGCAGAGTAGTATCCTTCCATCTCTGCAACATCAAGGCAGTTAGGCGTTTTTAAAATGAAGATGCTACCTCAAAACTTGTACCTGCATTAGTTACATCAAGATTGGATTATTGTAATGGAGTCCTTTACGGAATACCATTACCATCAATTAGAAAGCTGCAGCTATTGATGAACATCGCTGCTCGTCTTGTCACTGGGACACCTAAATTCCATCACATCACCCCTACTCTTCGTCGTCTTCATTGGTTGCCAGTGAAACAGCGTATTGAATTCAAAGTACTTTTATATGTTTACAAATCAATTCACAAGTTATCAACACAATACATTTCCAAATTAATTAAGGTTCGTTCTGCAACTTGCACTCGTTCCCTCCGGTCAACAACTGACTCAACCAATCTTTATTGTCCATCCTTTCGGTTAAAGTCTTGTGGGGAGCGATCGTTTATGGTTGCTGGGCCCAAGTTGTGGAACTTGTTACCTTTATTTATTCGTGAGTCACCTTCTGTCACCATTTTCAAAGAACGACTTAAGACCCATTTATTCTCGTCCCTTTAATTTATTTGTTTTCTATTTCCATGCCAGCTAGCTTTTATTGCTTTAACTAGGATAGGAGGCGTCCGAATCCGAGATGGCCGAGACTCAACAGGTGCTGACTGTAGTTCAATTAGATTGAACCCTAGCCAGCGATGAGGGCGTATCCCCATACTTCGGTTTGGGTGCTGGCATGGTATTCAAATTTCACTTCTTTTTATTTTGTGGTTTTGGTTTCCGTTCCATCTTTACACTTGCCTGATAGCGCTTAGAGACTTTTTGTATTTTGCGCTCTATAAATTAATAACCATTAACCATACCCAGTTTGGTTCTTATTGCCGATCAATTGATAAGGAATACGATGAACTTCATAAATACGAGGTAGTTTACTATTGTGCGCTACTATTCCTAGTTTAGTTCTAATTGCGCACTGTGATAAGGAATAGGATGAATTTAATAAAAAACCGAGACAGTTAACTACTGTGCGCGACACCATGTTTGGTTCCAATTGCGCACAGTGATAAGGCCAAACAAAATTATTTTGTGTTGCCCCCTCCGCGACCAACCAAAATTTATCAAAAAATCGTGTCTGCATTTTTAAAAATTTTTTCACTCAACTACAAATTCAAGAAATACTACTTCTGAAATTAACATTTAGAACATACAATCTAAAACAGACAAGTATTTTCATCAAAATCGGGCCACAGATGCAGGCGTAAAATCCTTAAAATAGAAGGCATAATTTTGAGAATTGAGCGCGACGACGACGATGTATGCACGTAACATCAGATCTCTCGCGCTCATCTGTCAAGCCACAATTAGATCTAGGCCTAGCCTGTTCTTTAACGTGTATAACTAGTGGTTGCTTGAATAAAAAATCGCATTGGCGGATCTACTGGAAAGGGGTCCGGACCCCTCTTGGGCAAAAAAAAAAAAAAATACTTGTGAGTTTACATGGGATCAGAAGTCGGGAAAGCTCATTTTCCGCCATCTAGGAATCAAAAATTTTTTCCGGGGAGGACCCCGACACCCTTTCTTTTTTGCGGAGACCGGATTCATCGATTCATGAAATAAAAGTATACGTATGCAACTACTCACTTTTTGTTTCTGAATAACTACCGGTACATACATAAATACATAATAGGCCTATTTACTGTAATAATAAATAGAAAAAAAAAATTATCGGACCGTTTTCAAAAGATGCAAACCTTGAATTTAGAAGAACTTAAAAGTAATTAATACTCTTCAGAAGTCAGGGATTCTCATTTTCCACCAGCTAGGAATCAAAATTTTCCCGAGAAAAATCCGGACCCCTCCTTCTGTTTGAGGTTCATTGATTTATTGAATTGTTTTCAAGAGGGGGTAAACCAGAACTTTAAATGACTTAGGTCATTTATAAAGACATCTCATAAGTCATTAAAGAAAGTCATTATAAAAGTCGGGAAAGCTCATTCCGGCATCTAGAACCAACATTTTCCCGACCCCCCGGTTCTCTTTGGAAATCATCGATTCATGGGGAAAAAAATACGATATGCAACTACTCAATTTTTATGTATATATACAAACAGGCTATTGACTGTAATAAGGATGAGAGAGTTTACCTGACCGTTTTCAGACAGGCTATCAGGAATAAAAATTCTTTTCCTTTGGGTTCATTTTGAAAAAAAGAATACGTATGCAACTAATAATGTTTTATCTTTATTTGGTATGTATGCCTAACCTATATATCGTTAGACACATTATAGGCCTCTTTGCTGTAATAAAGAATGAGAAAAATTTACATGACCGTTTTTAAGAGGGCATAAAACCTTGAATTTTGACTTAAAAGTCATTAAAAGACACTTCAGAAGTCGGGAGTTCATTTCCCGCTATCTAGGAATCAAAGTTTTCCGGGAAGGACCCCGACCCCCTTCTTTTTGGTGTTTTTTTGAAATATTTTTACCCCAACCCACGAAAATTTCAACGCAGATCCGCCCTTGAATCGTATTAATTAACTTACGGTACACAGGACAACAAATAAATACAGGCTTAGGTCCAGCAATCGCTTTAAAGCCAGAGGGTACATAGCTAGACATTTTAGGCTCCGCTACGGTTTCGGGCCAGCCATAATAACAAAATATTTTTCTTTTCTTTTTCTTTTTATTTATTTATATATTTTTTTAAAAAGTTGAATTCGATTTTATTACATAGAAGGCTCTTGTTTGGCCATTTTTCATAGCCATAGTATGGTTTTGCTCGACCTGTCCGTGCGTGATCGTGTATCGGATGCACAAATTATTTCACATTTCAAAGCCAAATAAATATTTTTTAAACAGATATTTTTCGGTTAAATTATTTAAACATTCACTTGGTTAGTATTTATTCCATCATTACTTTGACTATATTTTTTGTTCGTCAAGCTTGTCATCGTTCAATTGTGGTGCCTACGAGGCCTTATGCCTAGGATCTTTATATTAGGAGGGATTGTAATTTCAGGGCTAACCTATTTCAGGTATTACAAAAAATAAATAAATAAATAAAATAATAAAATCCGACCGACCTACGGTCTTTTTTCCCATATTAAGGGCAACATAATCCCCCCCCCCCACTTTTGTTTTGCCTAATGCCAGGCCCGTATCCAGCTTTTTTAATGGGGGGGGGTGCGTTTTGCGAGCGCAGCGAGCAACCAGGCTGGGGGCCAGGGGGACGCCCAGGGCCCCCGGCCGGGGTCCAGGGGCCTAAGGGCCCGAAAAAACTTGCTTTCTTACGTCCTAGTAGACTAATTTGAAGGCATTTTATCATGTTAATCTCTATATGTCCGTGAACACAGCGATAGGGCCTATCAAAAAAATACCAGCCTATCAAAAAAATACCAGTGGAGGACATGGAGAAACAAGCAAATTGTTTCTCAAATGAAAAATACTACTGTATAAATTCGTAACCATTACGAATAAAAATTCAAAATCAATTCTGCTTTTAAATGAATAATAGCAAAGTTTGATATAAAGAGTGGATTAAAAGCGACTGTAAATGAGCTGATTCAAACAACTAGAAGCATTTAAAACAAATTAATCAACATTTTTAATCTTGGCATCGACAGAAAACATATTATACAGAGGTATAAGCATAATTATACTGTATGTATACGCTATCTATCCATTGAACCCGTGAGGGGTATACTGTATTAAAGGATCATCATGATACGAGTAACGTTGTACGTTTTAATAGCAACATCACTTACATTTTTTTATAAGAGCACATTTTCTCCTTTCTCCCCATTTTTTAACACGTGCGCGCCCCAGCGTTGAGTATACTCGTCTCAGGGTATTTCTGAGAGCGCTAGGAACGATTATACTTGTCTAAACCGGGGTTTCATTCTAGCATTTTGACTTCATTGCTATACACTGACATACCGGCTGGTAGTTAGGGGAAGATACACCTAGACGATAACGTGCATATAGCGTGTGTTTGTTTGTTGTGTTATGTTGCTGGCAGTACAAAAGATTGCGCGTGTGGAGTCAGCGCTCTAGTATTCTTATTGTAACTCATTTGTATATTCATACAATCTCCCCCCTGTACTG